TGCAGAAACTAACACACCATTGTAAAGCAGTTATACTCCAATAAAGATGTTAATTAAAAAAAAAAAAAGAAGTATGAGATGCCTCTTTTCCACAGAGAAAAGGCAAGTATTTTAGTAAAACTTGTTAGCTTATTCATGACATATATACTACTCTGTATTATTCTCCTGTAATCTCAGGAGTCAAATACTGTATTTTCTTTAAGGAATACCAGTATGAGAAATTATATAAATTAGATTGTTGGTATGTAAAGTAAGGCCTTGCCTCCAGTATATGTTTTTCATATTATTAGGTGAGAAAACTTATTTCAGTGTAAGTTATCCTTTACCCCAGTGAAGGTTTGTTTTGTTGTTTGCTTTTTAAATTTTAAACAGAATTAGAACAGGGTTTGTAAGGTACTGAGGGAGGGGAAAACCGAGTACAGTTCTGAAACAGAGAGGCTGTAAGTTATTTTGTTTTCATCATATATCTGAATTTACATGATCATAGCAGAAATAGATAAGATCAAGTGGTTCTATTAAATTTTGCCTTAACTTAGAATGACCTAGGTACTGTGAATAGAAAGGAATGAATACTAATGGCTGCCACACAGGAAGCTTACAAACATTTTCTGTTCTGATTGCAAAGAATGAGAGACAAGCTGTAATCAGTGATCAGACAGCACTGACATTATGCTTCTGCCTCACCTATTATAAATGTTGTAGGTGAACGTAAGCCAGATACCTGACTCTCTCAGTTTCTTTTCTCCACTGACAGCTTAGATCAAGGAGATCAAGTGTTGCCACTGTGCTTGCATGGCATAGCCAGAGGTATATGTGAATGTGGAAAGGAGAAAACCATATTGTGAAAAGGGAATGGAAGACAAGTAGGCAGTTATTCCACACTTTTCTACATGATGGTCGTGAAGGTTAAAGCTTAAACTGGCATTTTAATGAGGTCGTAGATGTTCAACTTTTTCCTGAAATGTAGTTTTACTTTCTTAGTTTCTGTCTTTTTTTCTTTTTAAACCCTTGAGTTTAAAAATAGCCTTTATATATCTTTATGATTAAAATCTGGGAAGCTATTTGTCTTTCTGTTCATTCTAAATAGTTTAGTATATTCTCTAAACTGAGAACATCACAGAAATTAAAATGTTCTGAAATAACCAGAAGGAATCACACTGTTCTTAGAACCCATGTTTTCCAGTCTTCCTTCCCTTCAGTTTACTGCATTGCTATAAATTGCTGAGATTTATTTGGTCATTGGGCCAAATCTTACTGCTCTTACCTGACATCAAATTCAAGTAGTTATTTACAACCTTTTGTTCAAATGCAGAACCTCTGAAACATACGTAAGCTAAATATTTACATTTCTACATAAAGTTGATGCAAATGGGACTCTTCTGGGTCCAGGGCTTAGAATTCTGTTTTCAGAATGATTGAAAACATCTAATTCTCTGCTACTACAAGTATGAGAAGTCCATGGCTTACTGGTGATTTTTAAGCTTTAAAAATGTTAATGACAATTTCTCACATTTATTTAAAGGAGAACATTGGTAAAAAAAAAAAATATCCAAACTCTTAAGGATTATTTAAGCCTTGCGTTTAATTAGTTTAGATTTTTGTTTACTTTGATGGATTTCAAAGAAATTGGATAATCAGCATACTCTTCTTCACCACTTAAAGTCATTTTTCTGTTATTACTAAAAACTGATTTGTTTTGTTTCTTACAGTCAGTTTTCTCTTTATAGGCTCTAAAACAGCAACAGCAGAAGAAACAGCAGCAGCAGCAATGCAGGCCAAGCATGTCCATCTCCTCCAACCAGCACCTCTCTCTGAAGACTGTCAAAGCAGCCAGTGACTCTGTACCTGCCAAACCTGGTAGGCAGACTGAATGTCTTTTCAGTGAAAGTTTCTTTTTCCAGTATTTTTGTATACCAAATTCATATACTGTATCCTTTATTTTTAAATTACTGTATTATATTACTGCCAGATCATCAGTATAAATCCTTCTAGGGTAGAGGGGGAAATTTATGCAGAGTAATCATACAGTTGTTAAAAAATACATCCTTGGGATTTGCATGTTAGAATAAGATCAATGACTAACTTCCAATATGTCTAAACTAATAATATTTGAAAGCCTCTAATTAGTAACTTTATAAAGCTGATGTTTCCAAGATGCTCACACTGAACTCTTCACTGGTTCTCTTCTTTAAAAATAAAAGGTTTTCCTAAGAATTCTTGATACATTTGGGTTTCCATTGGACATATCCAGAGGCCTTTGGATTTTTTGTTGTTGTTGCTTATTTTGTTTTGAATTTAAACTGGTCTAGATACAGGCTTTGTATTTTATTACACAATTTAGTTTGATGCCAGCTGATTATATGAGTTGGCCAGATTTAAACTGTCTTGCAGAACTTTGCATTTTTGTTAGGAAGGAAATTTACCACCAGAAGCAAATAATGTGCTGGGAGGAGGAAAGGGATTTTATTTTACTTTTTGACTCCTAATTCTCAGACTCAGAACACATTTGAAGGGTCACATTGCCGCATACATAACTCCTTTGGTTAGCATTGAATGATTTAATTGTTCATTTGATTGATTATTTGTTTCTGTTTATACCCTCAGGGTCATATTTTATATATTTTTTTAATATATTTTTATATATATTTTTTCCCCTAGTGATATGGGAAGGAAAGCAATCTGACGGACAGTCAAGCAGCCCTCAGAACTCAAACTCTAGCTTTTCTTCTTCAGTTAAAGTGGAAAACCCTTTGCTAGGCCTGGGAAAGAAGTCATTCCAGAGGTCTGACAGGCTTCACACAAGTAAGTTAATTTACAAAGACCTCAGTTCTCGCACCTTAAATTTTCAACTCTGTGTTTGAAATACATCAGCTGTTTGGCTTAATTGCTCCTTCCTGTTCACCTTTGAGCTCTTGACTGTTTTCATGTTCTTCCTATCCTGTCTATCAAACTTCATTTCAGAATAAGATCTGTTATCAGCCATTTTGTGGTTTATTTCTCTTTCTGACAAGAGGTTTCTTTATCCAGCATTATTTACCTTTTACCTCTGGGTACAGAAAGGTAGAAGGTCTTATAATTAAACATGGCAAACTGAACCCCTTTTCCTGCTTCCTCTAAAATCCCACTATAAAATGAGAATATGGAAATACAAAAGATTAAACCCATTAGGGTGAAGAAAATAAGGAGATAACAGATGGACAGGAAATACCAACAGATTTTGAAAGATAAAAAAACTGGATGGAGTCTTTCACAGAGCTGAGGAGCAGATGCCAGTAGTCAGCAAGCCAGCTGAGCCTGTAGAGCACCAGAAAGGTTTATGAATTGGAGATACCATATCAAGGATTGAGATATCTTTCTCATAGTAGAGAAAGATGAAGCATAGGGTTGAAAAGAAAAACCTTTGAAAGTTAATAAGAAGAAGTTTGATGCCTCAGCCTAGCAGGAGACAGGAGATTTATTTTGAGGTGAAATTAAATCATCTAGACTTGAAATTCAGAGACAACACACATAACTGAGGACAGATAATGAGGCAATGTACCGGACTCAGGGAAATCAAGTAAAATACAAATACTAAATAGTGATCCTCCTGCTTGCTTGGTTTCCAGAATGTTAGTAGTGAGGCATATTTCTACCTCCATTACTCTGTTCCTCCTCCCCACCTATGCTTCAGCAAGAGATTGTGGGATTGGTACCTAAAGAAATTGAATAGCCTCAGAAAAAAAATCCCCAGGCAAATTTATAGATTCACAACTAAAAGAGATCATCTTGATCATACTTCTGTGGAGCTCACCAGTCTACAAGATGCACCCAGGCACCCAAAATTTTCAGTCTTTTTAGTGCCTCTCTTTTACTTGTGATTACTAAGGATCACCTTTGAAGAAAACCTCCGTCATGAGAGAATCTGAAATACAGACTCAGAAGAAACAGACAGTTCAGGAAGGATAAAACTTAATAAACAAATAACTTTAAAAACTATAATATCCACAGAAAGAAAAGATGATACTGCATCCATGAAAGAACAGAATACTATTTTAAAAATCAGAAAATAAAGAGTACCAGGATATTAAATAACATGGTAGCAAAAATTAAAAAATTTTAATAGAAATACGAAAAGTTAGAGGTGAAGACATTTCCCAGAACATAGGTCAAAGGAGAGAGAAGGTAAGAAAGTAGGAACACCAATCTAGGCTGTCCAATGTCTTAAATAGTAGGAGTATCAGAAAGGAAGAACAGAAATTGAAAGGAAGGTAAATGGTAAGAGAAATAATACAAGAAAATTCTGTAGAATTGAAAGCCACAGATTCCAGACTGAAAGTACGTGATTCCTGTCAAGAAACATGAACATAAAGAAACCTGTTCCAAGACCATTCTTTTGAAATTTCAAAACGTCTAGGATAACGAGAAGATTCCAAAGAGAAAAAAGTAGTTCACATATAAAGATTCAAGAATTGGGATGGCAGACATGTCAACAGCAACATAGAAGCTAAACGATAGTGCAGCAATGCCAACAAAATTCTAAAGGAAAGTTATTTTACATTCATTTATATAAAACAGACCCTTCCAAAGTATTAAGTATGAGAATAGAATTAATATTTTCAGACAAGTTCTTTGTAAAAATCTGGTTTGAATCTAGGTGGGATTGTAAATTGGTACATTTTTCTTAGAGACAGTATCTGCCTTAAACTGAATATGCCCTTTGAGCATCAGTCGCACTGCCAAAGATTAAAAATATTCATTTATTGGGACTTCCTGGTGCTCCAGTTGTTAAGACTCCATGCTTCCAAGGCAGAGGGCATGGGTTCGATCCCTGGTTGGGGAACTAAGATTGCACATGGTGTGTGGCGTGGCCAAAAATTAAAAAAATAAAAATATTCATTTAGTCAACAAATACTTATAGAAGGTATACTAATATGCCAAGCACAGGTTTAGGGCCCAAGAGATGTGGTGATAAACAGAACAAAGTTTCTTCCTTATAGAGCCAATATTCTACTTAAATTCAGTTAAAGTCACAATTTTAGTGTCTTCATTCAATTGCAGTTGAAACGTGGAGTTACAAAATTAAAGTATGGGCCAAGAATTTCTGACTTTCATAACACAACTAGGAAAAATTAACTATAAAAAAAGAAGGCATGGTATATTTAAGTTTGACCTAATGGCCAAGAAATAAATGAAAATTCATCTTCTTTCATGCAAATAAGGTTGTATGAAAAATAAATGAGTTAATACATGTCAGTGTTTAAAATAGTGCCTGACACTCAGGAAGCCCTATATAAATGTGTTTACTGCTGCTGTCATCGATCATTGTTGTTATAATTACTACTAATATTTCAAATTTATGGAGACCTGCATTTTTGGAATACTGATAATGAACTTTATAAGTGTACTGTAGTTATTCAGCACAGAATTCTGTGTAGATTGGATCAAGCTTGTTTATCTAAAAAATAGTTCAGCCTTTTCCCCCCCTTGTTTTTTGGGCTGCTTTTGGTATGGCTTGATTTATTAATAATTGAGAGAGATGTGTTGAAATCTCCTATCCTAATGGTGGCTTTGTTCAGTTCTCCCTGATGTTCTATCAGTTTTCATTTCACATATTTTGAAGCTACCTTATATTAGATATTTTCAAGTTGAAAATGTTCTTGGTGAATTAACCTCCCCCCCTTTTTTTTTTTTACCTTGTCAATCTCTGATTAAGTGTTTTACTTAAAGTGTCTTTTGTTTGATATTACTAGTGGTGCACCAGTTTTCCTATGGTTAGTTTTTGCCTGTTACATTTTTACTTTGTTCATTTCTATGTCCTTGTACGTTAGGTATATCTCTTTACACAGCATATAGCTAGCTGAATTTTCTTTATTTTCAATTCAGTATGTAAATCTTTTTTCTTTGGTGAATTTTATCCATTTATATTTATTGTGATTGTTAATCTATTTGGACTTGTTTCTACAATCTTATTTTTTTGTTGATCGTTGTCCTGATTTTTTTGTTTGTTTGTTGTTTCCCTTTTTTTTAAATGAATAACAATTTTTTTTTTTTTGCTTTCCCTGACTTTTTTTTTTTTTTAATTTTTATTGGAGGGATTTCCCCGGCAGTCCAGTGGTTAAGAATCCGCCCTTCCCCTGCAGGGGGCTCAGATTCCATTCCTGGTTGGGGAACTAAGACCCCACATGCTGCTCAGTGCAGCCAAAATAAATAAATAATTAATTAAAAATTTTTTTTTATTGGAGTACAGTTGATTTACAACTTTGTGTTAGTTTCAGGTATACAGCAAAGTGATTCAGTTATACGTATACATACATTCATTCTTCTTTAGATTCTTTTCTCATATAGGTTATCACAGAATATTGAGTAGAGTTCCCGGTGCTATACAGTAGGTCCTTGTTGGTTATCTGTCTTACATAGTAGTGTGCATGTGTTCATCCCAAGCTCCTGATTTATCCCTCCCCACCATATTTCCCCTTTGGTAACCCTAAGTTTGTTTTCTATATCTATAAGTCTGCTTCTGTGTTGTAAATAAGTTCATTTGTATTTCTTTTTAATTATATTCCACGTATGAGTGATATCATATAATATTTGTCTTTGTGTTTCTGACTTACTTCACTTAGTATGATAATCTCTAGGTCCATCTGTGTTGCTGCAGATTGCATTATTTCATTCTTTTTTATGGTTAATATGTCATTGTATATATGTACGATGTTTTCTTTATCCATTTCTCTGTTGATGGACATTTAGGTTGCTTCCATGTCTTGGCTGTTGTAAATAGTGCTGCAATGAACATTAAGGTGCATGTATCCCTTCGGGTTGTGGTTTTTTTTTTTTTCCAGATACATGCCCAGGAGTGCAATTGCTGGGTCATATGGTAGTTTTTAAGTTTTTTAAGGAGTCTCCATACTGTTCTCCATGGTAGTTGTACCAATTTATATTCCCAACAACAGTGTAGAAGGGTTCCATTTTCTCCACACACTCTCCAGTATTTATTGTTGGTAGACTTTTTGATGATGGCCATTCTGCCTGGTGTGAGGTGATACCACATTGTAGTTTTGATGGGTATTTCTGTGATAATTAGTGATGTTGAGCATCTTTTCATGTGTTTTTTGGCCATCTGTATGTCTTCTTTGGGGAACTGTCTATTTAGATCGGTCCTGTGCCCATTTTTTGATTGAGTTGTTTGTTTTTTTGACATAGAGCTGCATGAGCTGTTTGTATATTTTGGAGATTAATTCCTTGAGAATTCCTTGAGACTGTCTTTTCTCCATTGTATTTGCTTGCCTCCTTTGTCATAGATTAGTTGACCATAGGTGCATGGATTTATCTCTGGACTTTCTGTCCTGTTCCATTAATCTATATTTCTGTTTTTGTGCCAGTACCATGCAATTTTGATTACAGTAGCTTTGTAGTATAGTCTGAAGTCAGGGAGCCTGATTCCTCTAGCTCCATTTTTCTTTCTCAAGATTGCTTTGGCTATTCTGAGTCTTCTGTGTTTCCATACAAATTGTAAACATTTTTGTTCTAATTCTGTGAAAAATGCCATTGGTAATTTGATAGGTATTGCATTGAATCTGTAGATTGTTTTGGGTAGTATAGTCATTTTGACAATATTGATTCTTCTAATCCAGAAACATGGTATATCTCTCCATCTGTTTCTGTCATCTTTGAATTCTTTCCTCAGCATTTTATAGTTTTCTCAGTACAGGTCTTTTGCCTCCTAAGGTAGATTTATTCCTGGGTATTTTTTTCATTTTGATGCAGTGGTAAATGGAATTGTTTCCTTAATTTCTCTTTCTGATCTTTTGTTGTTAGTGTATAGGAATGCAAGAGATTTCTGTGTATTAATTTTGTATCCTTCAACTTTACCAAATTCATTGGTGAGCTCCAGTAGTTTTCTGGTAGCCTTTAGGATTTTCTGTGTATAGTATTGTGTCATCTGCAAACAGTGATAATTTTACTTCCTCTTTTCCAATACAGATGCCTTTTATTTCTTTTTCTTCTCTGATTGCCGTGGCTAGAACTTTCAAAACTATGTTGCATAAAAGTGGCGAGAGTGGACATCTGTATCTTGTTCCTGATCTTAGAGGAAGTTCAGTTTTTCACAACTGAGAATGATGTTAGCTGTGGGTTTGTCATATATGGCCTTTATTATGTTGAGGTAGGTTCCCTCTATGCCCACTTCCTGGAGAGTTTTTATCATAAGTGGGTGTTGAATTTTGTCAAAAGATTTTCTGCATCTATTGAGATGATAATATGGTTTTTATTCTTTAGTTTGTTAATGTGGTGTATCACATTGATTGATTTGCATATATCGAAGAATCCTTGCATCCCTGGGATAAATCCCACTTGATCATGGTATATGATCATGGTATATTGTTGGATTCGGTTTGCTAGTATTTTTATATGTTGTCCATTTTAATTCCTTCATAGTTTTTTTTCTCTCTCTGCTGGGTTTCATATACATTCTATTTCTGTTCTATTAGTTTTAGGTGTGCAACATGATTTATATATGTATATAGTGCGAAATGATTACCACTGTAAGTAAACATTCATCACCTCACGCAGTTACTTTTTTTTTACCTTGTGATGAGAACTTTTAAGATTTATTCTTTTAGCAAAAAAGTGGCCATCTTGATTTTCTTCCAGAACTATGGAAGTACTTTATAACAATTTAGCACTGATCGTTTTCTATTTGGACTTAAATAATATTATTATCTGACGTTTCGCTTCTTTGTTTTTAATCTCACAGATCAGGCACTAGAATGCTGTTGTTTTATGCAAGCATGTCTATCTTTCTCCATTGTATTCCAGCCCATCCATCTGCAGTGATTTTCCTTCCTGTAGTACAGGTTTTTGAGAACTTTATTTAGAGCATGTCTCTTGGTAGAAAATGCCCTCAATTTTTGTTTATTTCTATAAATATCTTTGTTTTATGTTCATTCTTGAAGGAGAGTTTAGTATACATATCATTATAGATTGATGGTTATTTTCTCTCAGCATTTTATAGTTAACCCATTTGTTACAGATTCCTTCATTGTTAAGATGCTTGCTGTTATTCTGTTCCTTTCTAGGAAATCTTTCCCTTCGTATGGATGCTTCCAAGCTATTTCTTGTTCTTTGATGAGCAGTTTTACTAAGCATGGATTTCTTTTCATCCTGCTTTGAATGTGTTTTGCTTCTAGATCTTTAGGTTTGTGGTTTTCATCAGTTCTGGTAAATGTATTGCTGAAAATTATTCAAATATTTCCTTTTCCCATTCTCTTAATTTCTTCTTTCTGGGTCTCCAATCAAGCACACATGTATTAGACCTTCTCATTCTGTCATTCATGTTTCTGCTAAAGCTCTCAAAATGTTTTATCTGTCTTTTCTATATTCTGGATAAATTATTTGGCTATAATTCCCTCCTGTTTAATCCACTCATGGTATCTGATTTCAACAATTTTTAAAATTTAGTTTTTCAAAGTCTTTTTGTTCATTCCTGATTATTTTAGCCTCATCTTTACAGTTACATTCTTTACTTCTTTAATTATTTTATACATAGCTATTCTGTATTCTATGTATGTGACAATTTCAGTGATAGCAGTACTTCTAGGTCTAAATCCTTTATTTCTGGTTACTGCTTATTTTCTGTCATATTGGCATACCTCCTGATTTGTTAGGGTAATCTTTGTTAGGCAGTGCTGGATTTTAATTTGTAGGAATCCTATGGGCCTAAGTTAAGGGGAATCCTTTCCTATCAAGGGAGATGACTTTTGTTTGTGCCAGGAGCCAGAGGTTACCCACATCCAGGACTGTGTAACTTTATGCAAGTATTCCTAATTGTAGAATTTATGGATCTTAGATTCCTATGCACCTTAAAATTTTGCTGTGTATTGTTAAATTTTCTTCTAATAAGATTATACTGATTTCAGCCCCACCAGCATTATTTGAAAGTGGTTTTTGCTTTTTCCGTGACTAGTCCCATCGCTATACTGCAATATTTGCCATTTGATAGACAAAACATGTTCATTAATTTAACTGACATTTCTTTAAATATTAATACCTTAGCAGCTGTTTATGGTTAGTCAACTATGAATTGCACGTTCATTCCTTTTGCTCATTTTTCTCTTGGTGATGTTTATCTTTTTCATGTTGATTTATAGGTGCACATTTAACATCAAGAATAGTAACCTTCTGGGACTTGCCTGGCGGTCCAGTGGTTAAGACTCTGCCCTTCCTTTGCAGGGAGCATGTGTTCGATCCCTGGATGGGGAACTAAGATCCCGCATGCCGCGTAGCGCAGCCGGGAAAAAAAAAAAGAATAGTAACCTTTTGTCATGGCTTGCAAATATTTTTCCAAGTTAGTCTTTTTTTTTTTTGGTGCAAAAGTTTTAAACTTTGTACTCAAATCCATCAGTGTTTTGAAAGACTGAAACCTTCCTGTTGTGAACAGATTTTCTGTTGACTGCTAAGCTATTCAATCATAACATTTTTAGCTAATGCAAATAAAATTGATGAAAATAATTATCACGGGAAGGGAAAAAGAGCCTCATTATGATTTATATATATATTTGAATTTTTCCATTTTTTAGTCATTCTGTGTATGTGTTATTATAAACTTCCCTAGTTCCATTGAGAAATGTTCAAGTCTCAAACATAAAATATATTTTTAGTATGGGAAAAGATGTACTTTTACAGACTTTATTCCATTTTTGCAGGGAAGATAACTTATATTCTTTTATCCTTTATGAACGAACAAAACTTGGCTTTGTTTATTTCTGAGAACCTTAAATGTTACCTTCTTCACAGTGTGATATTCTAAAGTACTTACAACCATGGTTTTTTTGCACTGCAGAGGAAGGTATAGTTTAGATAGAAACAGGAATGTGAAGGAGGCCCAAGTGATTCTTTTCCATATTTTTATAGGGCAAATGAAGAGGACTAAATGTGCTGAAATTGATGTTGAGACACCAGACTCCATTCTGGTTAATACAAACCTACGAGCACTAATCAACAAACACACCTTTTCAGTCCTTCCTGGAGATTGCCAACAGCGACTGCTTCTACTACTTCCAGAGGTGGATCGACAGGTGCGTTCTTTCAGGCATATCAGCAGTTTTATAACGCGTCTGGGGCTTCCTTCAATCATTACCTTTAGAACTCCTTAAGACTTTTTAAATGGCTTTTGTGTGTACCTGTAAAGAAGTGATATCAAAGGTGTTAAACAAGAAATAGTATTTCTTAATAGGTTGGCCCTGTAAGGCTCATAAAGGAAAAGAACCCTCTTATCAGAAATGTCAAGATTATGGAATAAAATTTGTCTAGCTATCATATTAGGATGTAGACATCCGCAGAATATAGTTCAGGAGGAAGAATTGTCTTAAGGCATTACACTGGGGTTTTTGAATGGATTTTTGATGGGATTAAGAATGTTAATTATTTTTTCCTTCTTCTGTTAAATTTTTCTAAAACAAACATTTATTGCTTCAGTAATAAGTTTTGAAATCCAATATAAGTTATACTCCTTAAAAAAACAAAACAGTACCCAGAAGAAATGTCAAAGGTTTGGAAGAGTCTAGGCAGGGACCAGAGAGATTTAGGTTGGTCAGGAATAAGGCAAAAGTCTAAGACTTAGGCTTTCATCAAGGAAGGAGTGACTAGCAAGTCACTCCCCCTTTTGATCTTCTGTTTCCTCCTCTGCAAAAGGATCATTATGATTTTGTGAGGTTTGTTCAATTCTGAGATTTTTTTTTTAATTAATGATTATTTTGAAGTACCTATGTTCTAAGTAATCTGTTAGGCACTCCACTTTTTTCTAATTATTATAAAAACATTATGAGAGAGAGTTGTTTTCCCTGGTTTACAGTAAGAAAACTAGATATATTCCCTAGTCTATAGAAAAGTCAAAACTAAATCTTTCTCATTCTGAAAATCATTCTTCTACTAGACTATATTGATATCAATTTCATACTGCTATGAATCAGCACCTGTGAAAGGTCAGATTCTATTTCTGAGGAGTTCAGATAAGTCAGGTACACTACCAGCAGTAGGGACAAAGAAGTAAAACTGATCCTTCCCAGCTGCTGCTCTCCCCACCATAACACTCCTTGGAGAAATTATAGCTTTGGGGATGCCCAGTTCTTGGTTAGAACAAGTTAGGAGACTGAAGTTTTGGCAGAGTTTTTAGAGGGCTTCTCTTCTTGCTAAGGATTGCTCTCATCTTTTTTAAAGACTCAAATTTTAGGTTGGGACTAATAACACAAGACCTAACAGAGGATATATCTATAGAATACTAGTGTGGGTTCCTCAGAACTGTCTTTTGACTAATGGCCCTTATCCTGTCTTAGAAGGAGAATTGGCACATGTAATTTCGGAATTAAAAGGGACCTTAAAACTTACCCAACTTCCCATTCCTGTGGGGTATTTTTAGTAGGAGGTTACTTGCCTGTCTTTTTCAGTTACTGTGGTGGAGGACATAGTAATCTGAGAATATGGAGTATGGAGTTTATTAGTGAAATTATTAGTGAATTTATTAATGAAATTCTGCTTCATTGTCAGATGAAATTTGGAGTTTATCAAAAATTCTGGTTATTACTAGCATGAAACATTGGAAACCATCTTTTAGTGTATGGAGTACTCAACAATGAACAGTCGAAAAACATTATTTAGACCAGAGAAAGGAATGAGGGAGGGGCATGGATTAAAACATCTCTCTTCAGATATATTTGAAGGCCAATCTTTGGAAGAGGTAAACTTCTTCGTTTCTCCAGGAAGCAAATTTGTGGTTAAAATAACATTTTTTTAAACAGTTGGAGCTATTAAATTGTAGAATGGATTGACTTGTCTTGGAGAAACTTGCACAGCACTGGAATATTCAAGATGTTGGATGACCTGTCCTCATAGGGAAGCCTGTTACTCCTCTGCCAAATCTATAGAGTACAAATCAGCAGCCAGCAAACTGTAGCCCACAGGCCAATTTCAGCCCACTGCCTGTTTTTGTAAATAAAGTTTTATTGGCATTCAGCCACTCCCATTAGTTTCTGCATATTATCTATAGCTACTTTCTGCCACAGTGTCAAGAGTTGAGTTGTTGCAACAGAGAGTATATGGCCTATTTGTAGTCTATCTCTTAATAGGAAAAGTTTCCAATTTCTGCTCTAGGGCAAGGGGAAAATAATATTGGCCCAGATAGATTTAGAAAATAAAGTGAGTTGAGTTCCTTAATCCCTAGGATGTCCAAATAGTTACCTAAATTTTCTTCAAAAAATTGTTTATGACTTTAAGCTTAAATTTAGTCTTTTAATCCATCTAGAATATTTTTTATATTATTCTGAAATTGTGGCTCAGCGTATTTTCTACCGACTAGATGGCCAGTTGTTCCAGCAGTACATATTTATATAACCGTCTTTTTCTCTCAGTTTGAAATACCATCTTTGTTACATATTCTATTCATTTACAGGCAGTTTATATTTATAGGCACTCTCTCCTCTTTCACTCATTTCTTTATTCACTCTAATGCTAGTAATAATTGTTTTGATTGCAGTGGCTTTGTGTGGTATGCTTAATAATTGGAAAGGCAATTCCCCCCTCTCAGTTTTTCATATTAATTTTTTTTCCATATGAATTTTAAGATCTTTTGTGTGTTTTTTTGTTTGTTTTTTTTTTTACCGGTATGCGGGCCTCTCACTGTCGCGGCCTCTCCCGCTGCGGAGCACAGGCTCCGGACGCACAGGCCCAGCAGCCATGGCTCACGGGCCCAGCCGCTCCGCGGCACGTGGGATCCTCCCGGACCGGGGCACGAACCCGCGTCCCCTGCATCGGCAGGCGGCCTCCCAACCACTGCGCCACCAGGGAAGCCCAAGATCATTTTATTAATGAAAAATCTGCATAGAGATTCTGGTAGAAATCTAGATATTAACTTTGGGCAGAATGACAGTTAATAAAATCTCTAATGCAGAGAAGAATCTTAAAACCTTTTGGCAAGACATCACAAATCAAGTCAGTGAACAGATAGATTGGAGGAAATATCTTTAAAGTACGTGGCAGTTTTGCTATGTATAACATGCAAAGGATTCTCACAAGATAGTTAAAAATAAGCATCCTCATAGAGTAATGAGCAAATAATAGGAATTGGCATTTCACTAGATGGCAAATCTAAATATTCAATAAACATGCAGAAAGATACACAAAACTCTAGTAGTCAGGATGAAGGAAATTTTAATCATTTCAAACTCATTAATAGGCAAAAATTAAATAGCATGTTAATATCTCTTGTTCACAAGATAAGGAGTATGCTCGTGTATTTCTAGTAGAAATGCGAATTATTTTATTAGCCTTTCTGGAAAATAATCTAATAGTCTTTTAGTTACACACACACACACACACACACACACACACAAATATTTCTTTGCTTTCAGAACCTATCCCATAGAAAAGAGCACTAGTATATTCATCTTTACTGGAATGCTTATTGCAGCTTTGTTGATTATGGGAAAGCACTGGAAACAAAATATATGTTTATGATCAGGACATTGGTAAATGTATTGAGGGACATTGATACAGGGAAACATCTGCAGCTATTATAAAGGAGCTAAAACTATGCCAGTTGACTTGGAGAGACTTCCACTTGTATTATGTGAGAAAAGTAAGTTTCAGAGTAGTGTATGTAACTTGGTCACAGTTTTGTAAAACAAGTAATGAACGTCTCAGAAAAAACCTCTTATGTACGTATTTGTTTGCAGATGATTCTTTGAGTATAATTAACCAGTGGGGAATGGAATTGAAAGGAGAGGAAGAAGGGAGGAGAGGTAAACAGGAAAGAGGTTTTTTAGAAAAAAAGTAACATTGCATTATAAAATAGAAGTGTCCATAATAAGCAGCATGGTATGATACAGTCGCGTTTCTGTAAAATTTGACTTACACACATTCTTTTCTAAAAGGACAGGAACGTCAAATTCCGCATGATACAATTGGCTTTCTTTCTAAGCTTTCTGTGGCTTATTCTTTGACCCAGGTTGGTCCAGATGGTCTGATGAAGTTAAATGGCTCAGCCCTTAATAATGAGTTCTTCACTTCAGCAGCCCAAGGCTGGAAGGAAAGACTTTCAGAAGGTAAGTGTTCAATTTTACGTGTCTCCTAGGATGTGTATGCACTTGGAGGGCATATTTGCACCTCTGAGCCTCAGTGGGTATTTGCCCAGTTTTGGAAAGCAGGAGATAGAACATTTCATAAGGTAGAACTAGCTATTCTATGTGAAACACATTGCTAGACTTTTATTTAGAGCATGTAACCAGGTTTGGCTCCAGGAGGAGTTCAGCAGCATGTTTCTTTAAGGGTTTAAAGTCACCTGGTAAACTAAAAAATATATAGACTTTTAGGCCCTATTCCTAAAGATTCTGTTTCATTAATTCTAGCTTAATGCCTAAGAATTGAAATTCTAATAAGCAGAATATAGAATTAGAGTTATTTTATGGTGCTGTGAATCATGGTTTGGTAAGCAGTGAGATAACTTCTTTCTTGCTGCCTAATCTCAATGAAACTAACAGTAAAAAGAATCTAAGAGACTAAGAACTTTCTAAAAAACTGCTTTGAGAAATGTTTAACGTACTATAAAATTCACCCATTTGCAGCATACAGTCCAGTAGCAGCCAGAGCATTTTAATAAATGCAGGTTATGATCAAGAATTGCTAACTGTGGTTACTGCTTTGCCATGTTTCTAATTCTGATCTAACAGATTTATAGAGGGTATATTACAAAGCATAAAAAAGTGATTGATTGACTGTTTGCGTAGCGTGTAGTATCGGTCACTATTAGCAGTTCTTAACCCTGGCTGCTCATTATAATCACTTGTGGTATTTTTTTAAAATACAGACATCCGGGCCCCAAAAACAATGATTTTGTTTTGCCTGCACTTCAGTGGGTTTTTTTAATATCTCTACTTTTCACTGTAGTTGTTGACTTTTCCCTTCCTGTTTTTCTTTTTAGGGCAAATTCTGTGTAGAAGGGATCTCTTACTGATTACTTTGAACCTTTCTCTTTCTTAAAGATTTCCTTGAGCAGAGACCCCCTTTTTCTGAAAGAGTCAGAATCACATGAGCACTTTAAGACATACCTGTTACCAGTACTTTCTTTTAGAATAATTTGGATTTATGTTCCCTACTCCCCAACTTTTAAAAGTAGATATTATCAACAGTGATACCTTGATTATTATGTTACTTTTCTTTTTGCATATGAGCAGTCACTGCTATACCTATAGTCATGCGATCATACTTCGTGAGCAGCAAAAACTTTGAACACTGTGTACATGTGAACAGAATTCAATACAATTTATTCCTCATTCTATCAAGCACAGTAGACACAACCAAAGAGCAGAAATTCAGAAGTTCTGGGTTGGATTCTGACAGCCAGATCCCTCTTCTCCCACTCATATGCCTAGGACTGTGATATCCACTGTCCTCTAACACTTTTCCTTTCCCTCTTCTTACCCCAGGAGGTCTTAAACTTCAAATCTGCCATTTCCACTTCTTATTCTCTAATGTCCTGGGTATTAGAGAATAAAAAAACAGCCTGTCTGAGTCACAGGTTTGACGATGGCCTACCAAGCACATTCATTGTTCTCTACTGATGGAGTGGGAAGAATTGAGGTGTGGTTGGTAGTTTTGAAAATAAATGGCATATTCAGAGCAGCTGGGTCTTTGGCATATTGAGTATCTTGTTGCTAGGGCACTAGACTCGTACAGTTTCTGGAACAATTAGAAAACTGACACCTCCAAAATAACTCCCTACTTTTTTTGTTTTTTGCCACACCGTGCGGCTTGTAGGATGTTAGTTCCCCAACCAGGGATTGAACCTGGGCCCACGGCAGTGAAAGCACAGAGTCCTAACCACTGGGCCACCAGGGAATTCCTACTACCTACCTTTTTACTGGAACCTCAAATGTCTTTAAGCAGGGCCATAACTGTTCATTATGCAGTTAGAGCTAAAAGGCCTAAAACACAGGTTGCCTTGGAGAAACAGAACTTTTTAATAATAAAGTGTCCAGTGGCATTATTTACTGAAAGCCTATGACCAGATGACTATTTTTCCAGTGGAAAAGAAATGACAGACTCAAGGTTTGTAAGAAATCTAGAGGGACTATGATATTTGAAGCAGAGGTGAGGGTTGCTACAAGGAAGGCCCAGAGAAGTGGCCAGTTAACTTTAGCTGCGCACTGGCAACTACATGGAGTGGCGTGCAAGGGTTTTTATTTCACCTGACGGCTCCTAGGTAGTTCCCCTTACAGTGAGGAATTTTGGGGAATTTCTGTTACTTTCATGTGATAGTATTCTGACTCCTGCATGAGTCTGTCATGATTTACAAATAGTTGAAAGTAGCAAATAGCATATTTCTATTGAATATCTTTTTTTCCCCCCCCTTGGTACATACAGGTGAATTTACACCTGAGATGCAGGTGAGAATTCGACAAGAGATTGAGAAGGAGAAAAAAGTAGAGCCTTGGAAAGAACAATTCTTTGAAAGCTACTATGGTCAGAGGTAAATATCAAGACAGGTTCTATAAACCAGTGTTAATTCCTATACATACGTCATGTGGTGCTTCATCTTATTACCTTTCCAGAAAATCTAGTCTGCAATTTCCTTCATTTTTTTCCACTAGTTCTTTTTTACTAAGAAAAATATTTTTTTCTTACGAATCTTAGGTACACAGAGTTGGATTACTCATAATCCTTGACTCTTTTTTTTTTTTTTTTTAATATTTATTTATTTATTTGGCCGTGTCGGGTCTTAGTTGTGGTGCGTGGGTTCTTCATTGTGGTGTGCAGGCTCTTCCTTGTGGCACACGGGCTTCTCTCTAGTTGTGGCGTGCGGGTTTTTCTCTCTCTAGTTGTGGCGCATGGGCTCGAGGGCGCATGGGCTCCAGAGCACACGGGCTCTCTCGTTGAGGCACTCAAGCTCATTAGTTACAGCGCACGGGCTTAGTTGCCCCGCAGCATGTGGAATCTTAGCTCCCTGACCAGGGATCAAACCTGTGTCCCCTCCATTGTAAGGCAGATTCTTTACCACTGGACCACCAGGGAAGTCCCAGTCCTTGACTCTTAACACGTTACCATTGTAGATGGCGTGGTTTCTTTTATTTATTAAAAATAAAAAAAAAAAGATTTTATTATCTTGAATTAGAGCCCTTACTTTGAATAGATTGGTTTTTCTTCCAGTAACTTTATAATACATAAGAATACTGAAGTTCTATATATTTTTTATTGTAGTCAGTTATCCCACAATAGGATAATTTATCCAGAATCACTAAGGAATCCTGTAATATGGACCATTGTATTCAACGTGTAATTAAGCAGCCTTTCTTCTGTAGAAGGCACTGGGAGATATTCATAGCTGAATCAAGATACAGACCCTTTTCTCAAGGGGCTATATAGTCTGAGTCAGTTTTTTTCCTAACAGAAAAAAAATCTTAAAATCTTAATGGGGGGATTTCCCTGGTGTTCTAGTGGTTAGGACTCGGAGCTTTCACTGCTGTGCCCCGGGTTCAATCCCTGGTCAGTGAGCTAAGGTCCCACAAGCCATGCGGTGCAGCCAAAAAAAAAAATAAATCTTAATGGGGACACTTAAATAGATGACAGTGGAGCTGTATTGTTTGAAATAGAATTGAACACCCGGAGTTTTAATTGTCTATTAGTCTCCCTTCCTACCTAATGGCAGCCTTTAAGGATACTCCATAACCATAGCTTGAGAACGAATGGCTCTTTTCCTTATCTCCATGTAGTGTTCATTGATCCCCTTCATGGTCATTTCAGAAGTGATTCTTAATGAGATGAAGAGCGCCATACACCAATTTTTCTACCTTCTTGGTATGAGCTTTGAGCTTTTCTACAGAAACGAGGGTGAATACATTTAGACCATTTTTATAGGTAGCAGTTATTCCATAAATATTGTTCATTCCCTCCTTATAAGATGGAGCATTACAGCCATTCTTGGGTCTTTCTGTTTTTAGCTATTACTTTTTGCCAGCTTTTTGGAAGGACTATATTTGATTACTGTCCAGATTTGTCCTCAGCCATTCCATCTCAGGGGTGCGGTACTGATTATTGAAGTCACCAAAGAGGGCTATCTTGTTTTTGCTTGTTGTAGGAGGAGTCTCTAGTGACCCCTACAGCGTAGCCTAGCTCTTAGCCAGGCCACACTGTGGAAGTCTCACTTGGTCTTCACTCCCAGGATAGCTCAGAGGCACTTGATCTCAGAATTTTAGAGCTATACCAAGTGAAATTTAAACAGGCTTTCCAAAAACTCAGAGTTCTCGTTTTCAACCTCTAGCGAATATTGACAGCCACCTCTCCTACTGTCTCCCCTGGGTCCCTTAGATTTCTTGGGCCAGCCTTTCTGCAGGTACTGCAGAGTAGAGCTGATCACCGTCCAAACCCACAGTCCCAGGGTACATGGGTCTTTGTCTTCTTTAACTTCTCTGTGAGTAGTCTGTGATCCATGCCTCTAGGCAGTGTAGCCCCTTTGTAAGCAGAAGTAATAATAATTAACATTATATTGAGCTTTTATTATGTGCTAGGTGCTATTCTAAGTACTGTACATGCATTAATTTAGTTACTCGTAATAGCAACAACGTACAACTAAAGAAACTGAGATACAGAAGGCTAGTCACTTACTTATTACATGGATAGTAGGTATCAGAGCTAGGATTTGAATCCAGGCACTCTGGCTCCAGACCCTTCACTAATATTAATAATAGTGAAGATGATATATGAAAATTACCTACTAAGTGTCACAGGTTCTTCTAGGCATTGCCATACACTGTTATCTCATATTCAATAACATAGGCCATTTCTCAACTACAATATTTGTTTCTTCCACCTTTTAGTTCTGGCCTGAGCCTTGAAGATTCAAAGAAATTGACAGCTTCACCCAACGATCCCAAAGTAAAGAAAACCCCAGCTGAGCAACCAAAATCCATGCTTCCTTCAGAGGCCTCTCCTGTCAATATAGTCTCAGTAATTCCCCAGTTAGTGTCTAAAGAAGAAGTACTACAACTGCCATCACCAGTCAGAAAAGAAGAGCATGAAAGCCAAGATAAGATGCAGCCAAACTCCAAATCCCCAGAGCCCCTGCTTTCCTCAGCTCCCAATACAGATGAGCTTAGCAGCGTCCCTCCCATCAAGTGCCCAAAGGATGAGGCTCTCTTGGAGCAAAAGCTAGTTGCCTCTGCTGAACAGAAGTCTGAGAAAGAGAGTCATCTCACTACAACTTCAAATTATAACAAAAATGAAAGCCAAGAAGCTTTAGTTACATCCCTGAGCAAACCCAAGAGCCCTGGGGTAGAAACAACAGTAGTGAAGCCCATAGTAGAAGCAGGTCTACAGGAGACCACTATGAAAGAGCCTCCATCAACTCTGGCTGATCACAGCCCAGAAAGCCTCAAGAGGAAATCTTCTGTCACCCAAGAAGAGGCCCCTACAAGCTGGGAGAAAAGACCACGTGTCACTGAGAATCGCCAGCACCAGCAGCCATTTCAAGTCTCCCCACAGCCCTTTCTCAGTAGAGGGGACAGATTCCAGGTGCGGAAAGTACCACCTCTCAAGGTAAGAGAGTGGGAAGAATTGAAAAAGAAAGATGGTCTGAACGCTAAGTTTTTGGTTGTACCTACTAAGTTTCAAATATTTGTGGTATTTCTTAATGCAGAAGCAGTTGTATATATTTGATATGCATGTAACTGTGGTCATACACGAGTAAAATTATTAAGAAACAGGCATTTAGAACTGCATCCTTATATGTATATATATAGCTGATTCACTTTGTTCTACAGCAGAAACTAAGACAACATTGTAAAGCAATTGTATTCCAATAAAAAAACATCATAAATAAAAGAACTGCGTCCTCACAGATCCTTTTTGGGGTTTGAATACTTATTCAGATATCTGAATATCTAATGCAGTCCACCCCCACCCACACCCCTGCTGGCTACTCTTGTATTTTAAGACAGTTATGGAAAGTATTTTGTCTCATGTGACAAAATAATAAGTATAATAATAAACAGGAGGAGGTCATTGATGTGATTAAGAGATCACATCTTTGTATCAAGAGCCATGATATTTAACACTTTATTGACTGGAGACGTATTACGGCCACAGGCATTAGTTTCTACAAAAATCCCCAGTCAATAATGTGTTAATTATTGCTGCCATAACTGATTTGATGTTCTGAGAGCCTGGAACTACCTTTTAGTTCCAACCTTTTAAAGGAAATGTGTGTGGCTGCCATGAGTCACCACTGGTCACTTGAGGGACCTTAGTAAGATGGAATAGCCTTGCTAAGCTCTACTGCTTAGGATATGTGATTAACTTGTGTTTTAGCCCTATATTGCTGCATATCAGATCTTTTAAATTTCTATAGCAGTGTCACTACCTTAGTGTGTACTTGGGCTTGTGCCTGATATCAGTTTGCAGTTCATTCTTAATTTTATTAATAGTATTTATTAACACTGTTGTGTCTACTATGAACCCAGGCACTGGGTAGCATTCATTCACATTAGAATATAAGTAAAACAAAATAAGCCAAATAGAAATACTTTTTTCCCTTTTTTATTCAACTTAGACTAACCAAAGTCCTACCTGGAACTATCCCTTGGAAACACTCAGTTCCTAGTACTTGGCCTGTTTCATGCACTGGGAGACTGTCTCTCTCATTTTGTTTGTTTCATGCACTGGGAGACTCTCTCTCTCATTTTGTCTGTTTCATGCACTGGGAGACTCTCTCTCTCATTTTGTCTGTTTCATGCACTGGGAGACTTCTCTCTCTCTCTCATTTTGCACCATAATAGTATGATGTTCTTCATTACTTTTTAATTTTAAGATTTGTGATTGCAGCACTTAGGAATCTCTCCTTTTTTCTTTTTCTTTTCTTTTTTTTTTTTTTTT